CACACGTGCACAGACCTGGGTGAACTGACAAGCTATCTTGGCTTGCGGATCACCCGGGACAGAGCACGGCGCACCATCACCTTGACTCAGTCACACATGGTGCAGCAGGTCCTTCAGCGCTTCGGCTTCACGTACTCCTCGCCTCAGTCCACTCCTCTGCCTACGGGACACTCGCTCTCAGCTCTGCCTTCGGAGGAGTCCGTAGAGCCGAGTGGTCCGTATCCAGAGCTTGTGGGCTGCCTCATGTACCTGATGACCTGCACTCGACCTGACCTTGCATACCCTCTCAGCATCTTAGCACGCTATGTCGCTCCCGGCCGTCACCGGAAGGAGCACATGGATGCAGCTAAGAGGGTGTTGCGCTACTTGTGCAGTACGTCGGGCATGGGGCTAGTGCTTGGAGGGCGAGACCGGCCTGTTCTCACTGGGCACTCAGACGCTTCTTGGGCAGACGACCAGGCTACTCAGCGGTCGTCTCAGGGTTACACCTTCAGTCTTGGCTCTGGCTCTGTCTCTTGGCGTTCTACTCGTTCCTCTTCTGTTCTCGGCTCCAGCTGTGAGGCTGAGATCTACGCCACGGCCATGGCTGCCCAGGAGCTTCGCTGGCTCACCTACCTACTGACTGACCTTGGAGAGCAGCCTCGTTCTCCTCCAGTGCTGTACGTCGACAACAAGGCAACCATAGCCTTGTGTCAGGAGCACAGACTGGAGCACAGGACGAAGCACATTGCTCTGCGTTACTTTCTAGCTCGAGAGCTACAGCAGCGTGGTCAGCTTCTTCTGCGTTACGTGGCCACTGAGGCCAACACTGCTGATGTGTTCACCAAGGCGCTTCCGCCTGTTGACCATCAGCGTTTTTGCACTCTTCTAGGCCTTGTGCCGACTGTTCCTCACTTGCTTACTTGTTGACCTTGCCTGTACTGTGATCATTATATATATACCTGCATATTTGCCCTTGCTAGGTTGTGATCATTGTACCTCTTGCTCTGTTATAAAACTGCATGTGAACTGGTCTTGTGACCGCTTACTTGTGCTCGGAATTTGTGTGGAATCCTCGAGATCCACCCTGAGCTTGTTTGCCTTGCTTTGCCTTGACTGGTCTTGTGACCCCTAGGTCTCCCCCACTTTGCCTATGGGGGTGTGTCAAACATTATATGTTTGTGTGGTTCTAGGCTGTAGTGGGTCACACCATAGGGGGTACACCAGTTTAGGGTTTCATATTTGTACTGTTGTTCTTACTAGTCACACACATTCCTGTTTCTCATTCTGACAGGTGTTCCTCCCATTGCAAACAATTGACCAGCCCTTTGGCAAACCCCACTTTGGGGGGGGCGGGGGCTAGGCTAGGCGAGGGCTAAACCTTTGCTTGTGCGGGAAGGACCCTAGTTCTTTCTGAACCTTTGGCTAACGCTTCTTGTCTGGGATGTGTTTGACAGGCTAACACTTGGCATTCAGGTTACAGAGCGTTAAATCCCTTTGACAACAATTTATGGGCTGGCCGTGGGAAAAAAAGCCCTAAATTGAAACAACCGCAATGGTTTCGCGGCCTTCGGTGTTAGCCTATCGAATAGGGTCACCGACTCACGGCCTGAGCAGTGCATTTCAATATTTAAGGTTCATTGTTCTTGAGATCCATGGACCAAATCCCCGAGTATTGCCGAAATTTTCGATCCCTGTCGACCTGCTCGAGTCTTGGCTTGCACCATTTCAGCTTCAAGCACAGAAAACATAAAAGGCTTACACTTGGCTTTTTTTGTGCCTAGTACTCACGATTTTCCAACCACACTCAGGGTGCCGAGAACCACAAAGAACAGATGTGGTCAGAGACGAAAAAAAACCAAGCCTCCTGATTTTAGTCAATAGAATACTGATAAGGACGTACCGCACTCACCGTCAGATTGTACCTGAGTAGAGAAGAACGTGCCGGGGAGCTCGGCTGCTGGTGCTGGTACAAAAGGACCGTTCGAGGATTTCAAGTCCCTGCTTGGAGAGGGTGGTATGAGTGAGAATTTCAATGCAAATAGTGATGATAATAGTGATGAGAATAGTGATGCTGATGATGCTGAATGAGGTGAGGAAGTGGAGGAAGCTGGGCAAGGAGAGAGCAAGGTTATGCAGGTAGAAGGGAAGTGTGAAGAAGTGTAGGAGAGAGGAGAGAATTAGGAGGTTGTGGGAGGTATCCGTATTACTCGGAGCAGGGAGGACCTGGGGGAGGCTGTATCTGAGGCTTGCCTTCACCTGGGCTTGGATTGTCTTAGGCTGGGAAGCAAAGGAACGGCAACATCCGCAGAGCGAGTGAGGAAGCAAAGCGGAAGAAAAGCGAGAGGCTGGAGAAGCGATTGCAGAGGCGAGAAGCTGAGGCTTGGAAGGTTCCTGGAAGCTTGTTGTGGCACCAGCGCAACGTCCGGGTGTTTGAGCGGTGGCTAGAGTGCATCAGCCGCGAGAAAAACTGGGTGAATAACCCAACTCCGCGGGTTTTACCCTGGAAGTATCCCGTGTTCATGAACCTGTGCGATCACAGGCAAGCAGATGCAAGAGTGGGGGTGTTTGGGATGAAAGAAGATGAGATTGTGAGAGTGCTGAGGATGACGTGGAGAAGTGTGACAACGGTGCTATAGGGAAAATCAATGGCGAAGACAATACTGATGATGCTGATGACAGACCTGATAAAGACGACGCTGTATCTGAACTGGAACCGGATGATGAAGATGACAGTTACCTGAGTAACAACTCCGACGAACACATGGATCCGCTTTTTGTCATCAGTGTTAATGTGCTTAAGAAGTTTTTGCTAATGCTCTTTGTGCCATATAACAGGAAAGCAGAGGTTAAGCGTGCCATCACGATAGTAGCTGCTATGCTGGTCTGCTGAAAAGAGTCACTCTCGTCGGATTTGGTGGAGACCACAAAACGTCAAGAGTTTCCGCTGACGTATCTCTCCAGCCAACATTTCGGCCGCCTGCAAGTTACATTCAACCATGTCAAGGACACGAATGTTGTCTGGAGCCATGCATTAAGCATGAGTGTTTGGGCGGCACCATCATACAACTCACCTAGCAGCACTCGGAAGACTCGCGTTTCCACTGTGAACGCACGATGAACCCGATATCTATATAGATGGTCTTGAAGGCGGCCTTGAAGGCGGCCTGTCTTGAAGGTGGCCTTGACCACTTGCATGGAACATAGCTGAAGCAAATCTTCTGCCACTCGAACAAAAGGAACATGGGTGTGCAAATCATGAAGCACCACGAGCGGTGACTCAATGTGTGGGATCAAGAAGAGTCCGACAACGGCCGATAGACAGCGATGCAAAAGGTAAAGACTAGGTTGTTCGTACAATGACATGCCTAGAAACACAGCAGAACCGAACACTTCACAGATTCCTTGTTGTGAATGTTTCTGCCTTGCTTACCTCTAATCTGATCATACATATGCGCCTTATAAACATACACCATACTGCACACATCTATGCCTTCCATGCCCCTCATCCTACATACTTCTCGATCTTACATACGTCTAATCCTTGTCTACCCTCCAATCGTGCCAATGCTGTACTCATCCAAGCTTTGCCTGTCTACCTCTGCCATCCTTATGCTTGGCTAAATATTTCCCTTGCTTTCCTCTCATCACCCCTCACCTCTTGTGCTTGCAAATACTGCAGCCTTGTGTTTTTCTGTTTTGCCTGCACATCTCTCTCTACCTCAAATTCTTGGAGACCCCTTAGCCTTGCCTATCTTACTGTGTGGTGCTCAATCGCTGACTTGCATACCTCAAATCCTTGCGTGTTATTACACCTTGCGTATCTCTCCTTGTGTACCTCTCTTCCTTGCATACCACCCATAGTAGCACACCCCGCAGCCTTGCCTAAACCCTTTTACACCCTCACACTACACTTCCTTGCCTACCTCGCTGACTAGCACACCTCTCTGCCTTGCCACCACCCTCCGCACCCTAGTGCTGTCAAATCAGCTTCCCAATGTGTCCCAACAGGTTTTTTTCTCAACAGTCTCTGGTATCACCCTCCTACATTCCATCCCAACCCACATCCTTCTCCGTAGCTACTTGCTTGACATTGCGTCAGCCACCCGTGGCATGAAACCACCCCGCTGTTTCCAACATCATGTTGCATGTACATCTATGCAGGCACACACGACCATGGCCATCCCAGCATTAGAAGGCAGGCATTTTTCATACGTCGCACATTTTGTCAAGGAAATTCCCAGACGTCAACCACAGGTATATGTTAGCACCGTCCAATACAGCGCGTTTCATTGTGATGGCATTGACTTGAACTGACCAAGGCTCAGGCGAACTCCAACAAGGTAGGGTGATGTTGTTACCATTGACCCATACGCTGCAGTCACCAGTCGTTTAGTCTATCCATGAGTTGTGTAGTCGCGCCAATCACGTCCGAGTAAAACGTCAGTCCCATCGAGTGTCTTAGCCAGCATTTCCTAGGTAATAGTGAAGTCACTCACACAACGGACTCGAACTCGGTCGACGCGTTCTCGAAAAGCCAGTGGCGTGACACCGACAATGTCAGAAGAGAAGTTGCACTAGGCGAAAGTACAGAGAATACAAGTACGAATGTTATTCCCTCTAAAGACTAACCCGGCATAGCCTATAGAAACATACCTAATACACATAAAACACAGTTTAACAAACCAACCGTGCAAGCATCGGTCCAGGGGCGATTGTAGTTACAGCGGACGCAATGTTGATTTGTGACAAGCTCCACCATTGACAAAAATTTTAGTAGGTCCGTGTATATTTTTCCTCTGAGCAGGATGGGATTGTCTACCACAGTGAGGGCCGGTTACACATGAAATTTCACAATGCACTGCCTTAGATAATTGCCAAACATTGACTACATGATGGAAGCAGGCCCCAAACTGGCTGTCCTGGCTGTTTCCCAACTGTGCCAACAATCCCAAAATGGTCTCTGCTCTCTCCAAAGCGATTCACAGGTACATGCTAGTGTAGTGTCTAACAAAATTGGCTCAATTGCCACTTTTTGTTCTCCGCCTGGACTTTTGTCGGCAGTCAAAGCAACGGGTCCTATCGACCTCTTGGTGTTGCTGCTCCTGCAGAGCTTGCACCTGCTGGGTGAGACGACGAATGTCAGCCTGCTGCTCCAGGAGCTGTAATAATTGGGGCATGAAAACGGGTATAAATACCAGAAATGGGCGTCTGATGGCAGACATGAGAAGTAAGGCATGACAAGAACATGAGAGGGAAGGAGCATGACAGTTGCATGGACTCTTCAGATGCATCTCCTCTTTTAAAAGCCCAGCTGAGCATTTGAGTTGCGATAAACACATGCGCTTGAGATGCATGTTGTGTTGCATGTGCGCTTACAGAGAGCATGATGAGGTTCTGTGCCTTGGCTTGATCCACCTGCAAGCAAAAACATGGGAAGGCGGTGATTTAATGAGCCAAATGTGAGGGCTGTAAGAGTGGACAAGCCACATGGGAGGGCAGTAAGAGAGGATGAACCACGTGGCAGGGTGTTAATCGGAAGAATGACATGGGAGGAGTGAAATACTGGAAGTGCTACAACTTGTGGAAATCAAACACGGACAAACAAACAAAACAGCAAGATGAGTGCCAAAGTTATCAAATGAGCTGCCAAACCGGGAAGCAGACAGGAAGGATACAGGAAACAGTGACCCAGAGAAGGAGACAATATGGAGATGGAATGAGGAGCATAACGGCAATTACAACCTGACAGGAGACTGAAAATTGAGTTGGCTCAAGAGTCACCTCGTTACAAGGTCGTATGGAGATGGAAACGAAGACAATAAACAAAGGGAGAACACGTTAACTACTTGATGTGTAGCTGATGTGCATTGCATGAAGCTCACGCCAAGCTGCTCGGACTTACATCAGGCACGTAGGCACCACCAGCACCAGAATTGCCGGTGCTGCCAGCGCGATTAGCAGCAGCAAGGGGAGAATCAGAGCTGGTTCCTAAGGCACCAACATAAGTCCCTGAAGCGCCGGAGTCAGTTCCTAAGGCACCGGGATAGCTTTCTGATGCAACTCGTTCTGACCCCACCACACCAACAGCTACATTGTGCCCCTCCCTTGACTTCTCTGCTGCACCGGTAAGTGCTGGAATAGAGTTGCTAATAGCTGGTATGGAGCTGCTAAGTGCTGCGGTGGCATGAGAGCGATGCTCTTGAGGGATGTGTGAGATGAGGCGAGATGCCACGGCCTGCGGAAGAGCACAGAGGAGATGCTGGGTGTTATATTATGCAAAGCACAAATGCTGAAAGAAAATAAATCTCCCTCCTCCTACTTGTCTCAGGTGACACAATACAGTGCACAAAATGGAGAAAGGCGAATTCTATCTGGTTTTTCTTCCAGTGGTTTTTCTTTCGATATTGCTATGCAAAAACTCTCGCTCAGTCGATGAAATTCTTCATGCATGATCGCGTGCATACACCATGCCACATCGTTCCACAACTTACCACACCACGGCACGGATTACATTCCATCCAACCATGCGACAGCACCTGCCCTGCCGTACCTGTGCAGACTGAAGCACGGATACAAGGACTTGTGGCCTGAGAATGATGCAATGACAGTCTCGAACGGAACGAGTGCATCCCTTTTTACCTGAGCGGACTGCAGCATGAAAACACGGACGGACTGCACCTCTCGTGCTGCGCCCCTGGCGCTGCAGCTCTGGTGCTGCACGCGCCATGCTTCCGTCCGTCCAGGGCAATGGAACCAGAGCATCACACGTGAACTGCAGCAGGGACGTGAGGACTTGTGGCTCGAGAGCAGTACCAACACCAATGCTTGCCATGAACGACCATGCCACAGCGTGCCACCCCATGCCATGCCACAACATGCCACAGCGTGCCACCCCATGCCATGCCACAACATGCCACAGCGTGCCACCCCATGCCATGCCACAACATGCCACAGCGTGCCACCCCATGCCATGCCACAGCACCGGCCCTGCTGTACCTGTGCAGACTGCAGCAGGGACGCCAGAACTTGTGGCTTGAGGGCAACACCGGCGCCAAAGCCATGGCCGAAACCCACTCCGCACCCCACGCCCACATCCACGTGAGGCACTCCCATACGCCTCAGCTGCAGGAGGCGGGGGAAGGGAGCGGGGAGAGGGGAGAGAGGGGATAGAGGGGAGAAAGGGGATAGAGGGGAGAGAGGGGATAGAGGGGATAGAGGGGAGAGAGGGGAGAGAGGGGAGAGAGGGGAGAGAGGGGATAGAGGGGAGAGAGGGGAGAGGGGAGAGAGAGGGGAGAGAGGGGAGAGAGGGGAGAGAGGGGAGAGAGGGAGAGAGGGGAGAGAGGGGAGAGAGGGGAGAGAGGGGAGAGAGGGGAGAGAGGGGAGAGAGGGGAGAGAGGGGAGAGAGGGGAGAGAGGGGATAGAGGGGAGAGAGGGGAGAGGGGAGAGAGAGGGGAGAGAGGGGAGAGAGGGGAGAGAGGGGAGAGAGGGGAGAGAGGGGAGAGAGGGGAGAGAGGGGAGAGAGGGGAGAGAGGGGAGAGAGGGGAGAGAGGGGAGAGAGGGGAGATAGAGGGGAGAGAGGGGAGAGAGGGGAGAGAGGGGAGAGAGGGGAGAGAGGGGAGAGAGGGGAGAGAGGGGAGAGAGGGAGAGAGGGAGAGAGGGAGAGAGGGGAGAGAGGGGAGAGAGGGGAGAGAGGGGAGAGAGGGGAGAGAGGGGAGAGAGGGGAGAGAGGGGAGAGAGGGGAGAGAGGGGAGAGAGGGGAGAGTGGTTAGCCCAGTCGCATCCCACACCCACATCCACGTGTGGCACTCCCAGCCCTGACACCTCAGATGGCATGAAGGAAAGGAAGGGACATGCGAGGGAATGATTGGTGGAAGAGGGTGAGTGGAAAGAAGGGAGAGAGGTGAGAGAGGGCACAGAGATAATTGCGGGGTGATAAAGAGCGGAGGGGAGGGGAACTGAGCAGAGGGCGGGGGGCGCTGACCAAAACGCGGAGGGGCGCTCACGAGTGGGCGGAGGGGAGCAGCGGCGCCAGCAGCGAGTCGGTTGAAATCACCCGCCATGGATGCCACCGCCCCTGCTCCTGGCAACGCACCTGGTGGTGGGTGGCGGTGATAGTGGGGGGGATTGGGAGAGCACAGATTGGACAGGCAGATTCTGAGCGCAGAGAGAGAGGGAGACAGAGAGAGTGGTGGCTCTTGAGGCGATTAGGAAAGTCGCAATGCGACGGTTGAAATCACCCGCCATGGATGCCACCGCCCCTGCTGCTGGCGAGGCGCCTGGCGGTGGGAGAGAGGGCAGAGAGGGCAGAGAAAACAAAAGGAAAAAAGAGCTGCCTTTTAGGCGACTCGAAAGGGGAAAAGGTGCGATTTGAGGAGACTCAAACGGCATTGTGAGTCGGTTGGAATTTCCCACCAGGAGACGCCACGGTGCAGCTGCTGCTGCTGGCAGGAAGCCTAGCGGGGAGAGAGAAAGAGTCCTACCCCGACGCGCCCTAACCCAATGCGCCCCAACCCCAATGTGCCCTACCCCGATGCGCCCTACCCCAATGTGCCCTACCCCGATGCGCCCTAACCCAATGCGCCCTACCCCACTAGCCACCCCAGTGCCCTTACCCAGGTTCACGGGCCGGCCAACGCCGATACCCACGCCGCATCCCACGCCGAACCCCGTGAACACCTGCCCCACGCGCAGCGCGAACGGATTCGCCCACCGCGCCGTCGGCGGCTCGAAATCCGACCACGATTTCGGCGGCGTGCGCGCATCGCGCAGCATCCCCGCCGATGTCGCGCCTCCGGCTGCGCTGCGCGGATCCTCCGCCACCTCCGCCATCTCCTTTCTTCCCCCCCTCCGAAGCGCCTCTTGAGGCGCGTTAAGAGTTCTCGGACGTTACGTCATGGCAACTCGATGCCCCCCCCTTCCGCAAAGAACGCAGTTTTTGCGAGTGTGCGCGGGCAGCTGCGTGCGACGATTGTGACGACAGGCGACAACGGCGACGAGGGCGACGGGGAAGAGAGGTCGACGAGAGCGACGAGAACGACGGGGAAGAGGGCAACAAGGGTGAATCTCTTGCTATTTGCGCCGTATGGGCGCGCGTTGATCCGCAGACAGAGTAATTTTGGGGGCGGAGAGAGCGGTAAATGCGGAATTGCGCGGCTCGTGGAAGGAATGCACAAATGTAAGGTGTTTTAGCGGGCCGAGGTGAGGCGGCAGGTGGCTGGCTTGGATCTTCAGGGTGAGGATTCCCCTCTATAAAGTTGACCACAGAAGCGATATAGCAACCATTAGCTCTGAGAACTCGCTAAAGCTTGCAATCTAATGTCCAAACAACTGTTTGTTATATCAAGGGATTTCTAATCGCCAAGGTTTGGGGGTTTGACTTGAAGATGCTGGTGATTCTTAGTGGCCGTACCACAGGCAGAAAGAGACATTGTTGTCATAGAGACATTGGAATCAGAACTACTAAGACAAGCAAAGGCCTCTAGAAACACAGTAAGTTACAACCGCGTTGCGCATGGGCGGAAGTCATTCTAGTTCTTATTTCCGTTACAACCGCATTGCGCAGGCCCCTTCACTTCCTCCGAGCCAATCAGCTGCTCGGACCAGTCCACGACTTGCTATGGCGCAAGGTGTTGCGAAATAGGCCCGCAACGGACAGAACTGGGGTATCGTGCGCCACTATCGTGTACGGACCGAGTCGCAACGGGCCGAGTCGCAACGGACCAGATCGCAATCTAGATGCGCGTCTTCGCCTGCCGGGCCTGCGCCATGGATCGCATTTCGCTCCCCTCGCCATTGTCACACTCGCTCGCGTCGCCTCGGGCACGCCTCGGGCCGTGGCTCCTTCCTCCCGACCGACGGACCGTCGCAGCGACATTCAATGGAGTCAACGGGGCCGACAGAGACAACAGCGTTAACAGAGTCAGCGGAGTCAACGGAGTCAACAGGGTCAGCCAAGTCAGCAGAAACAGCGACAGGGACTCGCTCATCCCGTCTCGTTTTTTCACGTCGCTATCCTCCCGCGCCTCCCTCTGCGCTAAATCCCACGTTTTTCTCCGCCAATCCGCTTGCGCCTCCCCACGACCCTCCCCCTGCCTTTCCGCCTCGCCCTCCGCTAGTATCTGGGCCAGCACGTCTTGCGCGCACCCCGGAGAGGAGACGCTGAGGCGCCCCGGCGCTCCAAGAGGAGGCGCGGGGCGCATTGGCGCGCCACTGGCGGGGCTGCAGCTGCGTGCTGCGCTCCCCCTGGTTGCGCGGGCGGAAGGCGGGGGCGAGGCCGGTGTTATCGTTGCGCGCGGCAGGAGATACAGCGGGAGGGGGAAGGGGGGAGAGGAAGAGGGGGAAGAAGAGGAGGACAGGGAAGAGTGGGATGAAGTAGGGGAAAGGGCCGTCATGCACGCAGGTGAGGAAGACGAGTTGGATAAAGGCGGCGGTAGTAGCAGCGATAGGGAAGAGAGCGGGGGAGGGGAGGAGAAGGGGGGGCGGAAGAAGAGGAGGAGGCGGAGGGAGGAGGAGAAGCAGCGGACGCGGGAGGGGGCGGAGGCAAGCAGCGGGGAGAGCCTGAGGAGGGGGGTGAGCTATGCGGAGGCGGAGAGGTGGGTGGGCGGAGGGGCGGAGGCGGAAGGGGCAGACGCGGGGGAAGAGGGGGAGGCGAGATTGGGCGCGGAGGGGAGACAGGGGGGAGAGTGGCCGCACGTGCCGGTGCTGGTTCGGGAGGTGGTGGGGGCGTTTGAGGGCGTGCGGTTGACAACTCTGGTTGACGGCACACTAGGGGCCGGCGGCCACACTCTCGCTGTGAGTGCCGTGTGTGCCAGTAACAGGTGTGACTGTAACAGGTGGGAGGTAGTTATGAGATGCCTCAAAGAGGGCGTGTGGTTGACAACACTGGTGGACGGCACTCTGGGCGCTGGTGGTCACACGCTCGCTTGCTGGGTGTAACAGGTGTGACCGTGGTTACAGGCTAGACAGTGCTGGGTGAGATTGTAACGGGTGTGCCATGTGTGACTGTATCAGGTATGAGTGTAACGGGTGTGACTCCTATAGTTGCAGAGACCATGGTTTGTTTCCCCCGTCTCTGCACGGTGTGTCTCACAGGCACGGTGTGTCTAACAGGCACCCGCTCCATCGCACTCACAAAGGGTGCTGCTGCTTCTGCCCCCTCCTGGTCACTCTCCTGCTTACGCGTTCCCTCCTTCCTCCCCTGCAGCTGGCCCGGCACCAACCAGAGACACAGGCACACTGTTGATTCGCCTCTATAATCGATACGACTATGATGTGCATTGACATAGCACAAGTCATCACATGCCATCGCACATGCCGCTGCTTTCCTTCGTTTCCCTCTCCGTGTGAGCAGCTAGCTCGCCACCATCCAGAGCTACAGACAGACAGTGGTGAGCATGGATGGACGTGGACCGGACCCCGCAGCACATGCAATCGCTGCTGCCCTCATTGCACCTCCCCTCCATTCACCGCTGCTGCCCTCATTGCACCTCCCCTCCATTCACCGTCTCCCTCATGTGTCCGTGGGCATGTGTGTGTGCAGCTAGCCCGGCACCATCCAGAGCTACAGACGGTGGTGGGCGTGGACCCCTCAGCACATCATATGTTGCACTGCCTCCTCCCTTCACTCCCATGCCTCCGCATTTCTCCCACCCTCTTCACATCTCCCCTGCAGCTATGCCAACACCATCCAGAGCTAGAGACGGTGGAGGGCGTGCACGTGGGCCCCTCAGCACACGCCATCGCTGCTGATTTTGCCTCCCTTCACTCTTTTGCCTCTGCTCTCTCCTGTGCTCTCTCCCATTTCGTTTCTCCCCTGCAGCTATGCCAGCGCCATCCAGAGCTACAGACGGTGGTGGGCGTGGACGTGGACCCTGCAGCACATGCCATCGCTGCCGCGCGCCTGCATCCCTTCCTGCGCATCGCTGCCCCGCCAGGCGCAAAGGCAGCCAGGCCGCAAGATCTCCATGCCCACGGCCAAGCAGCAGCGCCAGTTGCGGAGTGCGGGCAGCCTGAGGCGCATGGGCAAGCAACGCTGCGAGCAGTAGAGACACCGGAAGCGACATTGCGAGTGGCGGAGGAAAGGAGGGCCACAGCGACACTGCACGTGGTGGAGGGGAATTTCCGGCGGATGGTGGAGGCATGTGCGGGCGTGGGGGTGGGGCGTGGCAGCGTGGACGGCATTCTGCTGGACGTGGGGGTGTCTTCCATGCAGGTGCGGGCTGGTTCGGTGGAGGTGGCATCTGATGCAGGTGGGGGTGTTCTGTGGCATGTGCGGGCGTGGCATGTGGGGGTGTTGTCCACGCAGGTGAAGGCCGGTTGCTCTTGTGCAGGTGGTATCTGAGGCAGGTGGTATCTAAGGCACGCGAGGGCTGCTCTAGGGGAGGTAGTTTCAGAGGCAGTCGATGGATTTTTTCTTTGAAGTGGGTTCTCCACCCCTCCTACTCCCACATATCTTTTTCTCCCTCCTTTCTGTCCTTACAAATAGTTGTCCCTCTGCGCTGCCCTCTCTCTCCCCTCACAGATCGACAGGGCCGAAAGGGGATTTAGCTTCTTAAGGGATGGGCCGCTAGACATGCGCATGGACCCTAAGGTGAAACAATTCATTGGATTTTAACTGTCTGTACATGTCATGTGTGTTGTATGTGCTCCTGCTGCTTACTTCCCTCTCGTCTCTTTCCATTTCAGCTCTGCCTCCCCCCTCCCCTTCCACATTCACATTCACCACCCATGTCCCCTTCCCCCACCACCAGAGCCCCCTCACCGCTGAGGTTGCAGTTAACAATTGGCCGGAGGAGGTCTTGGGGCAGATCTTGAGAGACCTGGGGGAGGAGCGGCGGTGGCAGCAGATTGCCCGGCGGATCGTGGAGGCGCGGGGGAGAGGGCGCATCAGCACCACCACCCAGCTCGCTGCGATTGTGGCTGGAGGGGCATATGGGCCTAAGAAAAGCACAGGTAGGCTGGGTTGATGCGATCTCCCTCCTATTGCTCCAATCTCCCTCTTGCACATGCCCTGCCCTGTACGTCCCCTCCCAGCCTCATCATCCCGCCGTCGTGATGGAGCAGGCACGCGCATCCACTCACCCGCACCTTCCACACTCTGCCAATTGTCTCATCTGGCCTCCTGTTGCGCCCATCTCCCTCTTGACATCCCCTCCCGCCCCTGGCTCCCAGCCTCGTCCCTCCGCTGCTGTGGTCCAGGCACGCGCATCCACCCGGCCACCTGCACCTTGCAGGTGCTCTCCATTGTCTCATCTCACCTCCTATTGCGCCCATTTCCCCTCTGCACATCCCCTGCCCTGTACGCCCCATCTCAGCCTCTTCCTCCCGCCGTGGTGGTCCAGGCATGCGCATCCACCCGGCCACCCGCACATTCCAGGCTCTCCGCATCGCAGTAAATGACGAGCTTGCCGCCCTGGCGCTCGCCATTCCCGCTGCCCTCTCCCTGCTGGCGCCGGGCGGCCGACTGGCTGTCATCTCCTTCCACTCGCTCGAGGATCGCATCGTGAAGCGAAGCTTCCTGGAAGCTGCCGCCGGCGTGCCTGTGCCCATGCCTGTGCCAGTGCCCTTGCCAGTGGCCATGCCTGTGCCAGTGTCTGCACCAGGAGTAGGGAGCAGCAGTGGCTTGGAAGGGCATGGGCATGCGAGGTACCGGGTGGTGACGAAGCGGCCGGTGGTGGCGGAGGAGGATGAGTGGAGGGTGAATGCACGCAGCAGGAGTGCCAAGCTGAGGGTCGTCGAGCGAGTCGCTTGACAGGAAGTAAGGCGTTGCATTTACACGGTACTGGGAGGGTTCAATGTAGGTTTGATAGTGCTTACATGGCCTTGTTGCAGCGGTGGGGCAAGGGAGGCTGGGGAGTGAAGGGAGGTGCAATGGTGTATTCCTGTACAAAAAAATGCTGTAGCTCTCTCACTTTCCTCGGGTGGGGATACGGTAGGTGATAATGCATGCCTGAAAGTTTTTAAGGATTGATACGGTAGTAGTATCAGGCGTGTATGTCTATGATCTTGTATAAAACATAAGTTTGTTCTCAAAATCACAATCTTCTTAAATCCTTGCTTCCATCTGGTTACATATTTTACTTCTAGTTATTATTTGTCACAAAGAGATAGGATTAACATGGTTACATGCTAGTTTCAGATCCACGTCATTGTCAACATTACTAACGAGATACACTATCACGTACAAACATCAGAAGCCTTTCGTTATACGAAAATCTTGTGTGTCTGGCATCTCGCCGATGCCGAACCATTGGCTGAAACAAAAAGTAACTTTTCCATAGTTCGCGAACCTCGTCAAACGCGTCAAACGGGAGTTGTTTCTCTAGCTGTTTCGTGAAGAGTCGCTCTTGGAAATGACAGTTGCTGTCGCATGGATATGAATGACGTGGCGATAAGACCTTTGCGCCATCCACCACCCATTCACAACCTTCCCGCCCCGCCAAACCCGCCTGCGCCACTCAATCCCTGTCCCCCCCTTGCCTCCGATCCCATCACATTCACCCCCCACGCTCTGCGTGGCAATCCCTTTGCGCCAACACCCCTTCCGCCGCAACTGTTTCCGCCACAATCCGTCGGTTCATCCGCCTACCCTCTGGCCTCGATTCAATTTCATCCCTCGATTCCTCCACTCAGTCTACACTACACACACACACACACACACACAGGACTCTATTCCCCTTGATCCCGATTCCCGACTAAGCCAGTTCTTCTCATTCTTCCTGCTGGTAATTGTGATCTGGTCCGCAGCAGTTTTTTGTTCCGCCAGATCCTCACACCCGCTCTCCGCCGTTTCACTCACGAGTTACTATCGCCATGGCAGCGTCTACCGCGTGCACGCTCGGTGCGGTCGCCTGGCAGGCAGCCGCCAAGGCCGACCGCGCGGCGGAGCTTCTGTCCTCCGCCAGCTGCGCTTCCACGAAGTCGCTTCGGGTCGTGCCTGCCGCCAAGGCCTCTCTCCAGGTCCGTGCCTCACTGCGCCTCGCTGCGTCGTGACGTAAGGGGATGGCTCCTATTTTGAGCCAAATCAGCGCCAAGTATGATGGAGAGAAATTGGACATTCACGCAAGCTAATAATAACCTCCTGAATTAGAGAGAATGGGTAAGAGGTGCAGATTGGGATTGCAAAATTGAAGCGCCTGTATGATCGTAAGAAAGCGGTGGCGTCGGCACAATACGGGTGCTGCTTGATCGCATGTTTGACATGCCTCCTGCGCATGCCTTTTCCCCAGCTCCCCCACGTATTCAACGGGAGGTTGCGATTGACCGTCAATAGTAAGCTCGCAATGCAATCGTGTATTGTTCCGCCCAGCGTTTAGAGATGATACAAATTCTTCTGTTCCACTTGGTCGCCACGTGGCCACTCGACATATCGGCTTCGCCACGTGGTGTCGACTTGTTTCCCTTCCTTGCTAATTTCACCTTCCTCACCTCTTCACCTTGTTACATCATCACTCAGTCACCTCGCAATCCCGCCGCCATCACATCGCAATCGTCTCGCCATCTTTTCCTCCCCGCGATTCCTGCAGGCCAGCGCTACGTCGCGACGGGTCACTCGATGCGCCGCCGCTGACAACGTAAGTGAGCCACCTGTTCTCGCCTCGCCGTGCTGCCGCCCACTGTCCGCGTTGCCTCGTTACGTCCGCTTTGCCATTTGCTCTCTATCCTCCCGGCTGCATCCCACTCGTCACGAGTTTTGAGGCGGCTCAAAACTCCGTCCGCTTTGTCCTCTGCTCCTTGTTCTTCCGGCTGCATCCCACTCACCATAACTCTTCCGGTTATACCCTCCCCTTCTCTCCCTTCCCCCCCATTACCCCCATTCCCCCCCCCTTCCCCCCGCCCCACCATTTTCCTCCCCGCGCCTCCTTCCGACTCCACCCTTTCCACCATCACCCCCCCACCTCTCGATCGCATCGCTGTACTCCATTCTCTTCGCTTCTCGTGCTCGGCCGTTCCGCCTTTCCCTTGCCCCGTCATCACGTGTGCACCCGCGCCTGTCGCACACTCACGCTCGAACACACGCTCGAAAGCACCCGTGTGCGGCACCTTTTGCTGCGCTTCTGTCATCCGCGTCGCTGCTTCCTCCATCCATCAATTGCGTTACCCATGCAGCAACACCATCCGCTCTCACTCACACGCACGCGCCTCACCTCTTGACTCTGTACCCCTCAACCCGCCTCCTTCCGTCTCTCCCCGTCTTTCCGTTTTTTCCTTAATCCGTCCTCCAACGTACCTATCTCGGTCTTGATCAACCCCTCCCTCGCTCCAGACAACGGCAGCGGCTGCGGCGGCGTCGGAGACGCCAGCGGCGGAGATCACTGACACGTCAGCGTTCATTGCCGATGTTTCGAGCCTCATCAAGTGCGTTTAATCACCCTGTTAGCATTAATATTCACTAGCCGACGCGTCATTCGCGCCTGGACTACACAATTGTCCGCGGTGCAGCTCGACGCGCTTCGCTATAATTATCGACCTCTCTCATCGCTGCTCTTTCCCTTTTCTAGGCCGTCAGTTTCCGTTCCATATGTTTCTTCGTCCCTTCTCGTTCCGTTGTTCTGTCTCCCAATTTCCCCTCCCACACCCCCTTCCCCCCTCCTTTTCCCCTTTCTGCTCACACTCGTGAATTTGCGGAACCCTGCGGCGCGCATTTAGGCGGACCATCCTCGAACCCCCATAGAAGTGTCCCCTCGTTCACGAACCCCCACCCCTCATTTTCCCTGCCTGTGCCCAAGTCAATGGATTCGGGGGCCACATTTTAGCGGAGCTCAAGCACCCGAAGCAGACAATTGTTCGCGGCGCCTAAAGAAACACGTGGGGCACAGTAGAGCGGAGCTCAATCTCACTCGCGAGCAACGTTCCACTTGATTGGAAGCCCTCATGCCGTCGTTCTCCCCTCACTTTCCCAACCTAAACCTCTCCCCTTCCCGCTTCCCCTTCCCCTTCCCCTTAACGCTTCCCCTTCCCGCTCCCCTCCCCCTTCCCTTCCCCGTTCCGCGCAGGCTGGTGGATTCGCGCGACATCGTCGAGCTGGAGCTCAAGCAAGGGGGGTTTGAGATCCTCATCCGCAAGAAGGAGGCGCTCCCCGCGCCCGCCGCCCCCGCCGCGCCTGCCGCGCCCGCGTACCCCGCCTACCCCCCTCCCCACATGATGGCGCCGTTCCAATACGCGGACGCCCCGGCTCCCGCCCCCGCCGCCGCCCCCGCGCCTGCTGCCAAGCCCGCTGCTGCTCCCGCCGCGCCTGCGCCGCCTCCGCCCGCCGCGCTTCCGCCCATGGTTTCCCCCATGGCTGGCACGTACTACTCCTCCCCCGCCCCCGGCGAACCCCCCTTCCTCAAGGTGAGTGGGATCCGTTGGTCAAAGAGAAGCCTCTCGTGGTCAACGCGAGGTCTCCCCTGGTCAAGGCAAGGCTTGTTCCTCTGGGCGCGTTCCGATTTTTGCCTTCCTATGTCTCTGCTCCCACCCTTCCCTGCGCATCCACTCCTGCCCAACCCCACCATAAGTCACTTGTGCTTTCAATTGTGTGGGCGTTACGTTTTTCCATGGCATGTTGGCGTGCTGGTGTTGATATGCTTGGGACGTTGATGGCCTGATGGCATGGGGCATGGCATGGGACATCGGATGGGATGGATAACTTGACTGCCATTGCGTGGCATGGCGTGGCAGGTTGGGGACAAGGTGACCAAGGGGCAAGTGGTGTGCATCGTGGAGGCCATGAAGCTCATGAACGAAATCGAGGTGCGTGCGAGTGGTGCAAGGAAACACGGTGTGTGTGCTGCTGCTAGATGAGGGTCGCCAGATTCGATTGTTGTTTCACCCTTGGGTTATTGGAACCAATCTAGTCGTTTCCATGTGTGAGGAGCTGACCACATGACCTCCACTTGGCTTCCCATGTGCAGGCGGGTCTGGCAAACGGTGGTAGCGATTCTTGCAGAGGATGGCAAACCAGACTTTTGACATGTCTCAACATTTAACTGATTTTTATGCCAGAAACGCTGACCGCATGACCCTGTGCCTCTTCATTCCCGTGTGCAGGCGGACCAGTCAGGCACGGTGGTGGCCATCATCGCAGAGGACGGCAAACCAGTGTCTGTTGGCGCGGTAAGTCCCCGCCCCGCTCACACACCCATTGTGTTGTGATGGGAGTGATTTGCCCTCCCTTGTTCAGGCCCCTTCCTTTTTGTCCTCTCCCCCGTTCCCATGTTTTTTGCTTTATTTAATTTTCCACCTAGTGACCTGTTTTTACCGCTTCCCAAACACCCCCATCCACACTACCTCAAACTCTCTCCTCTATTCCTCCACCCATATCACATTCCCCTTCCTCCCAACCCTCTCCCTGCTCTCGATCTGAATGTGCTCTTTTGCAGCCTCTCTTTACAATCAAGCCATGAGCGCCAGTGCAGCTTCCCTTTTATTTGAATATATAAAATCATTTCCAGCTGGGAACAGCGGTTAATCCTTAGCTCTTGTTTCTGAGCTAATTTGGCATGTACCGCTCAGAAGCATTTTTTTGTTGCATGTTCCAGGCCTAATTTGCCTGCGTGCTGTAGTTTCTGGATAGAATGTCTCAAAATAATCCTGAACATCCTGTTGGCCAGTCTGTCAAAGCATTTTTTTTTGAAAGATTCTCAACTCCAGTTTCCAGGATTCGCAAATGCTTGCCTTGGTTTTGATGCATTACACTGCGTGTACCGGTCTTCGATAAGCAATTTCGTTTCATGCATTGCAAGTGAGAAACTCAGAATGGATAGGATGGAC